CACACCATATGTAACATCTGCAGGTTCATTTTTTAAAGATGCCTTCAATTTCAAATATACACTAGACCAACTAATTTCTAAAGCCTTAATATCTAGTTTTTGATGTTGTGTCACTCTTCATCGAAGTTCCTGCCAATGAAGCTTGCAATATTGCACTTGACCTCTACATTAATGACCCCAACAAGTTAATGCACATCCCCAGCACACTCTTTTAGAATTTACAACAACTAAAACTATCTTAATGTTCAACAACAAACATTTCCTTCAAATAGATGGTTTAAGTATGGGCAATCCTGTTTCACCCATTCTTACCAATATATTCATGACCCAGATCAAAACACAAGCCATATATTCTGCACTTCATCCCCCACTATACTGGTACAGATATGTCGATGACAATTTTGCTGGTTTCATTTCTACAGAACACACGCTAACTTTCTTTGAACACATAAACTCCATTCATCCAACATCAAATTTACCATAGAACACTAAAACAATAAACAGTTATCTTTTCTTTACCTCAACATTATTAGATCAGACACACAGTTTAAAACCAAAATTCAACATAAGAACACACACACACTAGCCTTTACATCCCTTGGAATTCTGCTCATGACACCACACAAAAAATCAATACAGTGAAAAACCTCATAAACAGAGCCACAAGACTGTTAAATGGATCACACAGATAAAGAAATCAACCACATAAAGCATTCCTTCATTCACACCAATAAATTCCCACCAGCTATTGTTGAAAACTCTCCAACATTCATTACAACAAAACTCAACTCACGAACAAAAGTGATACTAACAAACCCGACAACAGAACATTACACTGCAATTTACTTTTTGTCCCTGAACCAGCTCAAGAATTATCCACACTTGGACAAAACTAGCCATTAAACACAAAATACTTGTCAACGTCAAACTCTCACAAAAACCCGGCCCTAAATTAAAATTGTTACTAAACAAAAATTATTTAGAATCACATAATGCCAATGTCATTTACAAAATAACATGCAATAACTGTTCAGGAAGAAAATTGGAAACCAGATTGACAGAACACAATAAAAAAATCGTCCCATGTTTTTCACCATTGCAACTCAAAAAACCATAATATGTCTATTAAAAACACAGTAATTTTAAACAAAGAACCAAACACAAACAAACAAACAAAAAAATCAAGGAATCCATCTTAATTGAACAAAACAACCCTACTATAAACCAACACCCCGGGGTGCCAAGATATCTCTTCTAAGTCTTGCAACAGTATCTGGTCATGTGACCTCTTTCTTCCATGCTGTTTATATATATATCTGTGTCAGTGTAAACTGCTTGTATCTGATGATGACAAAACCTTGTCAAAACGTTGTACATTTGCTGTTATGTTAAACTTATGTTAAAGTTTTTCTTCATTACCTATTCAACTTATTATTCCTGATTGATCACCAATTGGTCCTTTAACAACACTTTTTGTGTGTGTATAAAAAGAAGCCCCCATATACAATGAAAATTATTACTCTGTGAGTGTTCTCTTTCATAATCAAACAAACAACATTCTGTATGTACGATCAAACTTATTGTACCATCACTTTCTAGATATAAAGGATGTTGTGCATGCTATCAAAATGGTTGCTTTAGTAATAATTTATAAATAATATTTAAGTCTTAGTATTCACTAGCTGTGTACCCGTCCTTCGTATGGGTTGTGTGTATAAATAATACATTTATTTAACAATTAACAAACAAATTATTTGTACATTATTTACATTACATTTTACATTTTTAATTGTACATTATTATAACAATTAAATATAACTTAACAAAAGATACTGTGGACCATGTGTTACCTGCGTCAC